GGAGTATAGTGTATGCATTTGTGTGACATTCATTCCCTGGGGAAGAATCTGAGCCCTTGTTCCCGCTGGCCCTCCTTCTGAGCCAGCATTAAATCTGCAGCCAAGATCATGGATGACTTGGGCAAATCACTTGGCCATTATGAACTCACAGCCATGGCAACGGCCTGAGGACAAAAGGTGTTTTATTCTGTTGTTCTGCACAAAAGGTTCTAGGGATGCTGCGGACAAAATGGCCATTGACAGTTATAGGCATTGATGTGTACTTTTTTTCTCCCTACTATGTGGTTTATATTTAAACTGTCTTAGGCCAATGCACACTGGAGCTTTTGTGTGAGTCAAACCTAAAACTATCTTTACACAGAGCCCAGCTAAATGAAGACTTAAGATATTAGCTCAAAAGAGGCTTGGGAGTTTGATGAGAGAGACTGAGAATTACTAGTAAAAAAAAAAATATGTTTGAACCCCTGGCCTTGATTTTTTTTTTCCATTTTGATTTAAGATCACAGTAATAAGAATGGGTGGGGGAGGCGAACAGGAGGAAAAGTACTTTTCTTGTTCCCCTGGTTTGTGATAACCAATATTATGATTGCTGGCTAGAAGCTTGGGAAAACTCAAGTCTGTGAGTTTGCAAGTACATTGAAGCAAACCATTACTCTTCCTTAACAAGCATTGGCTTTTAGCAACACGATACTCTGCTGATATGAAGCACCGCCCCATACTTAAAAACATCACTTGCCTGGGACTTCCTACACTAGAGCTAGCCTGAATGTGGAACTCATTTCCTTTGCCAGTGGATACACTCCTAGCACCTTGGGGGGATAAGGGGTACATATAAATCAACTTTCGTCAATAGCTCCATATCTGTTTTCTCAGCCCCCACCCAAATTGAGGCAAATGGTATTTTAATTGTGAGACGTATTGAGGTTATCAGTACTTCTTTGTCTCTGAGAAAGCACTATAGTAGCAGCCTTTCAAGAGAGCAGAACAATTTAGATCATTTTTGTTTGGTTCTTATATTTTGTTCCTTATAGCTCTGAAACTAGCCATTAGGTTTGAAAGTAGCTAGAATGTTGTAACTAAATCCTAGAGGACCTCCGTTTTTAAGGGGGTAAAAATGCCAACCACCTTGTGAAAGCAGGCATCGCACATGAACTCAGGATGCCCCACTTGAGCCTGGGAAGATGGAACTGCTAGCTTGCGTGGCTTCTCCAACCTGTGGATATCACTCCGACTGTGCATATTACTAAGACTATCCTCCAAAGGACCCTAACACATGTAATAATGGTTAAGGGAAATGGCATCTTTGGCTTGAGTAAGGTCCAAGTCATGCTTTCAGAAAGGCCTGTGCTTATGACTACTTTTTCACGATGATTTAGTAATTTTATCGTTAGCCAAGGATAGTTCTTCATAACCAGTATTATCTTCACATGTATATTTTTTCATGCAATCTGTTCAGTATTTTTGTTTGTTTCCGGCAGGAAGTTAAATTTGGTCTTTGCTCTTCCTCCATCCTAGCCAAAAGTAAGAACTGTTTTGCAGAGATTTCATTCTACTGGTATGTGACGTGACTGGTCATAGAAGAAAGCTGTTGGAACTGGACTAGTAAGAAACTTGTATCAGGGCAGCTGATCTCAAAGTAGAGCTTATATGAGTGCTGGGGGTATCTACAGTGACATAGATATGGAAGAGAGCAGTCCATTTGTAGGTATTTGAATAATCACCATACATAGAATTTTAGCTCTTTAGATAACTGTCTAACAAAGCCACATGGAGCTCTAGGTTCACCTGGTATTTCCTAATCAGTTTTTTTTTTCTATATTACATATCACAAGCTTCTAATCGTATTGTTGTAGGGTCTGTAAGAGGTAGATGTGTGTGCATGTGTGCGTGTGTGTGTGCACACACACGCACGAACGCATGCGAGTGCACGCACAACAAAAATGACCACCATGTGGTTTCAGTTCTGGAGGAGCCATGGTTCCCAGCCACAGATGAAGCCGTCTGCTGAAAATATATGTTGGTCAAGACTGCCATTCACTGATGTGCTTGTGATTTCCCCAAGTTCCTGAATCCCTGGTTTCCCTTGCCATTACCAGACTAGATCCACAGCACTCAGTATAAGGTGTCTGTGAGAGTGAGAAATTGGAGAGAAACATTAGCCTTGATCAAGTGTTGAATTTGGAACTGTACAGTATTGTTCTTTTAACCCCACTTGTGTTTTTGAGCCTGGGAGCAGCTGTGATAGTTCCTTTGAAAAGAAGCAGAATACTCTAACCCTCTGGATAAAAGAGCCTTTCAAAGCAGCCACTGTGGATTTGGAAGGATGTTTTCCATTGTTAGGGGATGAATGAATGTGCTATACTGTAACACTTAGCCCTAACTCCAAATGACAAAGAAAGATGTGGACTGTTTAAAAAAAATACATATGTACCCCAAATACCCTGAAATGAAGGAGCACTTTATCAGGTTATATGCATACCATGGTTGTCACATCAGTGAGGCATTGCTTGCTATGCCTTTCTGCACAAAGCCTTCCTGCCCCATCTCCAGCATGAATTACATTCCCTTCTGCAACTCCCTCTCTCCTTGTTCTTTATTTCCTCCACTGGTCCTCTGATGGTCTGGATCCTGACCTTCATCATGATACTAGGTATGCCATATCCTGCAGGCGACATGTACTACTGGATAGCTAGGAATGTGGTTTGACACAAAATAATAAAGTTTCTTTTAAACATGATTTTGTTTTGTTTTTACATTTAGCTCGTGATGCAGTTTGCAATGATTCAATTGTGCCATTGTTTTTTAGTGTGAGCATTGTCAATGACAGTGTTGTGTTGCAGTGTTAAAAGGGTGGATATGCCTGAGTGAAGTCTAGTCTTTGATGCAGCATCAGACTGATCTTGAAGGTGAAAGTGTCTTGTTTCAGATGTTTCAGATGCTAAGCACAGTGCTTGACAGTCACCCAGTAGGTCTTCAAAAGTACCTCATAAATGGTATCCAAGGTGATTTCATTGGGTTCAGTTAGAACCCAGTTCATATTACAAACAAGCAAATAAATGGTAAGTCTGAGTTTTGTGATAATGAAACCTTGTTTATGGGCAACATCCATCACGGCAGCCACTAGCTCCTGTGGTTACCCAGGGTATGTGGGCAGTGGTACTGAGGAAATGAATTGTTCTTTCTACTTCATCTTAAATAGCTTAAATTTCAATAGCCACATGTGCTAGTGACTACTTGACCAGATAGCATGGTCCCGGAGCCACACAGATGTTTAATAAAGGTCAGATGCAACGACAAGCAGCCATCTTGTTCTTCATATTATCACAGACACTAAGAATGGGAGGAAGAGGTCACAAATGGACACACACACACACACACACACATCATTTCTTTATCTGATAGGACAGATCAAGACCAAGGATGTTGGTTTCTCTTAGAATGGGAGCCTGGAGAGAATGTGGACTTTAGTTTCATTCTCTTCACTCAGTCCTCAGAAAGCCATGTGGCAAAATAAAGCTGAGGTCCAACATCCACACTCACAAATCTCAAGTGTCCAGAGCTCTTTAAGGTACTAACTTGCTAATGACCTTGGAACCATATTGTGCACCGGGTCTATTTTACAAGGATTTGGACGTCTGTTTCAATGAGTTAGACCTTTCCAAATACAGCTGGTCATCTTTGTGAAATAGAAGGATACACGGGCTCCATGGGAAACCTTGATATTTTGCATTTTCCAATGAGCTAAAGAGCAATTGTGAGAAGGAGAGAATCCAGTTGCTTTCTGCAGTAGACTAAAATGAATGTTGCTTTCACATGGGGTGCTCATCTGAGGAAAGTCCATCACTGGTTTGTTCTGCTAGGTTTCCAAGCTCTGACTCCTATGAAGACCATTTGAGAAAAAGACTTTTAACTGGCTTAGGGTGTTTACCCTGAGCTAATGAATTGCCCTTGATTGCTGTTAAACATGCTAATGCATTTAAAGTTGGATTTTCCCTGGCAGGCCATTTACTGAGGGGTCTGGATGCTATAAGCATGGCTGGGAGGTCAGGAGAGCTAAAGACATTATCTCCAGGGCCAGCAGTGTGATAGATAGAAGATAAATATCTCTAAGCTGGCAATGTCACTTGGCTGTGGAGGTCAGGCAGACCTTTATGGACATTTCAAGGAAAAGTTGTCTCAGCGATTCTGCTCTGGGTTCAATTCCTAGCACCCACAAGGAGGCTCACCACCTCCTCAGGCATGAGGCATGCATGTGGTACACAGATGTGCGTACATGCAGGCAAACACTCACACACATAAAATATATTTTTAACAAGTAGATAAATGTCTCATTTCTCAAGAGCAGGTGTGAAGTCTGGCTCTGTCCCCTTCATTTCACTCCATGGAGTCTCATTTTGTCCCTTTTCTCCTCGCCTTGTTTCTTTTCCCTTCAACTACTTAAATATCACCTACTGGGTTTGGGTTCTGACTCTGGGCATGCAGCATGTCTGTTAAGATGGAAGCTGGGGAGGAGGAGGAAGAGGAGGAGAAGAAGGAGGAGCACTATGAATGAATTGCTTCTGCTGCCCATGTTGGGGAGGGGAAATTTTTGTTTGAAACCTCATAAGGCTGGGTTTGGAGGAAAACTGACTATAGCTTTACTTCATGGAGCTACAAGGGCTCTGAAGTCCTCTCCTTTGCCTCTATTAGTCATTGTCACTTGAGCAGCTGCCCCTTTGCCTCACAGTCAGTCAGGAAGCTCTCAAATTATGTTATATCCTATAAGTGACAGTTGATGGCTGTTACTCACTACCTTTGAAGAATCTAAGCAAAATCAGCTACACTCCCCTTTGAAGTGCCAGGGTCCTCACTCACAGACACTGAGACCCTAGAAACCACCCTTGTGGATTTGGGGATTTTAGTCATAGAGCTGAGAAGGGTGATGATGTGCTGTTGGTAACGCTCATGAGGGCCAGAGGCATTCCTGCCCATCATGGCTGCCTTTTCCTCCTCCGACCTAGGTTGCTTCGAATGCTGCATCAAGTGTCTGGGAGGAGTCCCCTATGCCTCCCTGGTGGCCACCATCCTATGTTTCTCTGGAGTCGCCTTGTTCTGTGGCTGTGGGCATGTGGCTCTTGCAGGTACCGTGGCCATTCTTGAGCAACACTTTTCCACCAACACCAGTGACCATGCCTTGCTGAGCGAAGTGTGAGTATCTGCTTTCTTTTGCAAATATATTGAAGATGCAACTACCTTGCAGTGCATTTTATTTTATTTTATTTTATTTTATTTTATTTTATTTTATTTTATTTTATTTTATTTT